TCACTATTTTCTGGACTTCAGCACAGCAGCATTGTTTTCTGAAGGGTTTCTTTTCAACATTCATAAATTTTCTGGTTACTTGACACACTGCTTTTGAATAAGGCTTTCTGAATTTTCTTTCTTTTTTTCTTGTTTTGCTTTTTCTTAGCCAAGCTCTCGTGATTGGACTTGTAAGCACTGTAGATTGGCAACTGGAAGAGTTTGGTTACTTAGCTGTGCTGAGAATAACTTAACGTGCTTTTTTGTCTTTCATTCGGTCATTACAAAGGAAATTTTTGGCATTGCTTCCATAATTTGAGAAGTGGTTACAATCAAGAGAAAAACATTGTCCAAGAATTTTAATTTTCTGTACTTACTGTTCATATAACCTATTTAAAGAATATCTTTCATCATACCACTGTCAAAACTCTATATTTTTCCCATATTTATAAATGAGAGCTGTGTCATCTCTGTGTTTGAAGAAAATAACATGACAAAACATCCATCACAAAGCCACACAGTCAATGATAATATGAGTATAAAACAGGGTAATAAATGAAAATTAGCATAAATGATGTTTGACATCTTCTGATGCATTATAAAACTACAAAAAATTGTTTTATATGGTTTATACGTACATTAATACAAAAAACAACCATTTTAACATTTCCCAGTTCCCCCCAAATTGTTAAGACAGAAAATCGTCTATAGACAGCAAACTCTTATCCTTACATACAACTTAATAAATGCCATTGATATAACTTGCCTTGATCTACTATAATGTCTTGCTTTTCAATATCCCAATTTCAGGAATAAATTCCATTACCAAATTGAGGTACATGCCAACTTTCCTTTACCACTTGAGCTGAAAAAATACTTTAGTCTGAATATATTACAATGATCCAATCACTTCCTAATCCAAAACTCTCTATTCATAAATCTCTTGCATTGTGAAACATCCTTGATTGCTACTAATTTCACAGTATCTATAAGTCAAGCTTAGTAAACCACACCAAAGTAAGTCATTCCATTAATGCTGGTGTCAATGTACAACATTTCTTGTGGTCTGTCAGGCAGGTCCCTAGCTGGGAGTTCCAAAAACTTTAGTCATCTTTCCTCCACATCTTTACCTTCCATGACTTCCTGCAGCTTTGAAACTTGGAAGTTTAAGCAAATACAACACTGGCTAACTGAAATACAAGTTAGCCAGAATGGTTAAGAATTTGATCTTTAATAGCAAAAGTACATACTGAAGATAAAGGTCAGATAAATTCCAATTAGTTAGAATGTGTAGCAACTGCTCCATTACGAACATGCCCTGCTTTGAAATCCTTTTAGAGGCAGGGTGCTAAAACTATACCTTGGTCAAGCAACATTTCTACGTACTTCATGTGTAATACACACTCTATACAGCCCATCAAAAATGTATCCCTAACATATATGAACTTCTCAGTACCTCATGCTTCACTGGGTCCTCACTTGACCAATACCTATAGTTGTGCTGCCCTTGTTGTCATTTTCATTACAACAGCTAACACAGGTTACCTCTAACACAAATACATTTCCTCAACTACCATCTAGTTGTTATGTAGACAGAGCCCTGGTACCACACGTACATAATCATTTGTACACATATATTGCTATATGCATATATCTACATTATACATCACTGCATACTCCAGGTCATCCGGTGGGACAGCTGTAAGTCTTTGGATTTACACTGCTAAACTCAGGGGTTCGGTTCTTCTCGGTGGACACAGCAGACAGCCTGATGTGGCTTTGATATAAGAAAATACATACATACTCCAGTACCTTATAATAGATTGCTTCCAGCTCATGTGCAGTGACTTTGGTAACCTTCTCAGTTTACTATTTGAAGCTCTATTGACAGCTTCAGCCTTGTAATGTGCTGGCATCAGAATTTATTAATTCTCAACAGAATTCAGCCAAACTAAGACTTTTTCAGCAAACATTCTCATAAGCCAGGATTAATATCTGTGCTATTCTTACAGTATATATAAATATATATATATGTATATATATTCACACTCAGACAAAACACAACTTCCTTACTACATCTGGAGAATTTATATGGACAATTAAGTGTACTGAGGATTGTTTATTATGCTTTGTAGAACTCCCATCACTTGGATAGATCAGGTGAATGACTTGCAAAACACTGGATGATATTTTGCCACAGAAAATCATTCAACAGCTGAGGTTTTTGAACTCTTAGCTATCATCTTCAGTTGTGCAAACTGTTGATGTTCTAGGCATTACATCTGCTAGCATCAAGCATTTAAGTAGCAATCACACAATCTAGTGCAAACATTGTACCAAGAAAAACCACCTGATAGGTCAGAAAGCAAGGAATGCCACTCCTTTCAGTCATCGATCTTACAACCACATGACTTTCCCAGCTGCTGGTAATCAGTTAATTCCAGCCATATCAATTAGGATGCTGGAAGTGGGGCTCAACCAACTTCCACAGTTGTTTCTCATCTCTAAGTTTGGTAATTCCTTACTTGTCAAGCACCGAACCATATAACTTCAACATTGTACTGCTTGTTCCTGAATCCATTCATTCCAGACAATAAACTGTCTCTTGTCTAGGACAACAGAGAAACAAACTTAGGACTCAATTTTAAGGTAATTTCTAGGTTGTCCTATATCAAAGGTTGTCTGAAAATTCCCACAAAAAACACAGACCTTCAAAATAGATCCATTTATGACAATATTGATATACAAAGGCCCTAAAAAAGTCACAATTACAATAATTTTGAAGTTTTTATATCTTATTTATTTCCAAAAAGTACAATTAATGTTTAGTTGGCAATTTTGCATCTCTATTCAAATAATTTTTGATGCCTTATTTCCTGGGAAGTTTCGTTATATTGGAAACAAATAAGCCCAATCCATGCTAGTGTTACATAGTATCTCAAGGAAACAAACAGTCAATGACACATAAAACTTTTAAAGAGAACAACAATCTTGGCTAATCAGTTCAATGTTTTCATTCTAACCAGCTTAGCCTGCCCACCAAGTACAGTAAAGTACAGCCTTTAGTAAGACTAGACTTGAATCATCGGAACTCTCACACATAATATTATACCGTAATATGTACACAATGCCGGAGTGCTGCACATATACACACACAACTGATATGTATTTTTGTTCATCCTCATAGTTTGTATTGACCTGGAGAAAGGGAATGCCAGCCTTATATTAGTTATTGATATTCTGCTTCATAGTGATCAAAACTTTCATAAAATTTTGTTTGCAGTTATCATTATTATGTTTTGATTAATCTGTGATTTTCCCATTTTTTGTAAGGTAGCTAGACTTTCTGTGTCTGTATAACATTAGTCTTAGATCTAGACATGCATAATCAAAAGGAGGTCAGTGTTTCAACTGTGACAATTAATGATGAAAATTCTGAACTTGTTTTTGTAAATTTGATTGTTTTAGTTCCTACCAAAGGTTTATCAGTAAGAAGCTGAGATAGCCATGTTAGTTTTATTGTCGTAAGCATCTATACTAGAAATTGATCTCCCCAAATATTCATGTTATCAGCATTCATTTTTGATTCAAATTCCCACCCATTCATATATGTATGCATATAAACATCCTGCAATACTATCTGTGTTAATATAACTAAATGAGCTGTATACACTGTACTGTTTTACCACACATAACCATTCATGTTCAGTTGAACTCCACACAAAATTTATGTGCATAAAGCAGCACAGAGGCACAGCTTGCCCATGATAAAAAGTTTAGTGACTAAAACATCATTATTAGCCAATCAAAATAGTGAACTTTTCCTAATATTTTCAGCCCCTTTTGGTAGATTGTAACAACATTTCTCTTGTGCAAAGAACAATCTTTTTTAAACAAAAAAATGGACCAAAAGATATTTTTGTAGAGGCCCCAAGTTCATAGTTACAGAATTTACCAATGATTTTGGTCCAGGATCAAAGCCAAAATTACTTGTGTAGTGTAAACGTGGATAAATGAAGCATAGACTGCAATGCTGTTTTGAGTAAGGGTCTGTTCCAGGGTGCTAGTCATCCATAGGACAACATGGGGGTTTAAGTTGGTTGTCCGACAAAGTTTTTAGTCATTTTGGATGACCAGACGGCCATTAAAATTGAACCCTGAAGTTGGCACTGGCAGTTCATCCATTAGCTCTGGGATCTCCAGCTTCTCTATAACCCTTGGTCTCCTCAGAGATGCTCACTACTGCATCTTTTGATGACCACTATTTACCTATTGGTGAAACTTCCTGTTGGTAAACTTTGTCCTCCTGTGGCACTGGTCCCCCACAGCTAGTTCCATGTGGCTTTGATCACAGTTGGGGTTGAGTTATTCTGGCTGTAGACCTGTATAGACTGCCTCATTCTGTTCCAGACCTGCCAGACACTATACCACCTCAACAACCTTCAACTGTTCAAACTTCCCTCAAACTGAGGTTGATCCTCAGGGGGATAACTCGATCAGCCATTCTGAGTGCACCACATTCTGGTAATTCTATTTCATGAGTCTACAACAAAAGTTCAACATTCAGGAGAGTACTTCTCCTAGAGCTGACAATTCTCTCAAACAACTGTCTCCCTTTAAGTTCTTATATTGGATACACATGAGAATGATAAGCTCATGTGACAGAATTGGTAATTTGTCTTGTTAGAGACAGGTGAGACTAAAGTAATTTGTTTATAAGAATATGTTTGAAATATATACATATATATTATAGTAAAATACCCTTTCTTCTACATCTTGCATACAAAGCCAATAAAGTCATAGATCTGAGTAACACATAATGCAATAACATATAGATTGAAAATTACATCAATCAAAATCATGTGTTCACATTCACCAGTAAATGGTGATATCTTTACTGACTATTTGATATCTTTAATGAAGAATTAGTTATATCATTGTTTGAATAACCTTACTAGGCAAACTATTGCAATGAATTTAATGTACAGAAAAACTGTATTAAATGAAAACTTAAATCTTACCTTTATAGGCATTCCAGTACAATGAAAGCCAAAGGGGAACAAACATCTCTTACCCTTCAGACGTTGATACCCAACAGCAAACTACAGAGTGAAAAAAAAAGTTGTAATGAACTCCTATGCATAACTTAAGAGTTGTTATTCTGGTCACACCATTAAACTAAAAGGTAAAATGATTGACTAATCTATGATTTGTACCACTTTGAGTCAAACAATACCAAAATGTTTGTTTCTGGTTACATCTAAAGTAAAAAATAGTTAGTAGGTAGATTTTTTTATGATGAAAGGTTAAATATGCCATTTGAAAAAAACACACCATAAGATTATTTTCATCCAAATTCAGTAAAAGTGTAAAAAAAAGGTTCATGGGACAATTTTTTGTTCTAGATTACTCTGTACCTGCTCATCTTTTGTTTAGCAAAAGTTCTTGCCCATGCCATTGTTATAATAAATGCAGTTAATGCTGCATTTTGTTGGTAGATAGCATCTACTCTTTCAGTCTTTTCCATGTTTCTAACAGAGAAGTTTCATACATTTGATTGAAAATTCATAAAGATTTCCAATTGTTGTGTGGCAGTCTTCAATCATGTGCAAATCTCCAGACAATTATCCACACTTTATTTTCTGCTTAAGGTTTTTCTTCCATTTAAATGCTGTGAAGTTCATTCCAAATATCATTAAATAATTTTGAAGATAATAACATAAATTTTTTTAATTCATACATTTTAATGAGAATTGCTTATTGTGACTTGGTTTATTGAATTAAATTTTGGTTTACATCAATGACACAAATGGTCAATAAGATGCTTAAATTTGATGATGATATTAAGATCTCTTGTGTTTTTGGCTGTGAGAAGGATACTGTTGCTTTACAAAGGATTTAGATCATTTTGTAAGTTGGGAAAATAACTGGCTGATGGCTTTTTATTGTAATAAATGCAAAGTAATGCATGGAGATTTTAAAAATGTAAATTATAATTTTGTAGGGAAGAAAAGAATCTTGGTGCTTTTCTTGATCAGTTTCTTAAGCCATCCAAGCATTGAGCTGTTGCTAGTGGTAGAGCAAATTGGATTTTGGGTTGTATTTACAGAAATACTAGATACAAGTCTAAAGAGGTTATCACTTTATTGTACAGGTCATTGGTTAGACCACATTTACATATTGTGTTCAGTCTTGGGCTCCTTTCCTTAAATATGATATGTTGTATGAGGACTAGTTAACATTTCTGAAACTGTTCTCTCTTGAAAAACAGAAGTGTTAGAGGATATTTGATTGAAGTGTTCAAGATTAGTAATGGAATTGATAGTATCTATGCATCATTATTTTTGGTGAGAATGGTAAGATAAGGGGACACAAGTATAAATTTTGGAAGGGAATGAGTCATCTTCAGCTTATACAATTTTATTTTCATAACAGGGTGGTTGGCCTTTGGAATGGATTGCCTTCAGATGTGGTTGATGCAATAAATTCAAAGGAGTTTAGGGTAAGACTTGATAAATATTTAAATGATCAGGACCGCCGGATTGGAGTTATTGTTTTTTAAGTGAATGGGACAGCCTAGATGGACAAACAAGCCCCTTGTTGCCCTTAACTGTTATGTTCAGCTTTCTCTGTTTACACTGCCAAACTTACCAAGCTTGCAAAGTATCATTACTCACAACTTTTCAGAAGTGAGGTTCAGAATGTTGAAGTGTATATATAATCATGCTACCACTACTACTAAGTCACAAATTTAACTAGAATAGGTCTATAACAAAGAATATTAAATTAACTACAGTTAAGCATTTTCATGACCTCTATCTTATTTCAAAGTAATTCTAAATGTTTAGATAGGAAATTAAATTGAGACGAGAGTATGCTAATACTGATTGTTTTTTTTATTATTCTGGAGTATGTCTGTTTTCAATATGCATAACGTGTATACACAGGTTATTTTTCCTACAAGTTTTGCAAAGTATCTTTCTTTTGCATCTTAAAACATTCATCACCTTTTTCAATTTCAAAAATTATTTCTTTGTGATATTTAATGCTAATTATGACAAGATAGAAAAGTCACAATCAACTGATCATGAAATATCATCACTGAAGTTGGTAGCCTCTATAACACTGCTGTAAATAAACTACTTGCAGGAAATTTGCCAGAGAAAACATTCCAGTTATTTTATCTGTCATGAATAACACACAATTAAACACACTATGCAGATAATAGAAAATGCAATCAGTTTATTGGTTTACAAGTATATCATAACATTTTTTGTTCAACATACATTGTTACATATTGTATACAAACTTAACATTTTCTTAAATTTAAAATGTATTTCCAATAATACTTACATCTGCTCATGCTTATAGCTAATTGCTCAACTGCCAGGGTTTCCTTTGCCCATCTATGCATTGATATGATTTTTCCCACTTGCTCCAGTCTTTTATTCCCCACTTAATTGCCCTTGGTGATATTTATCCCATGACACTCTCCACATATGTCCATGCACCCTCTATCCTGGTACTGTATATAACAACCTCATTCAGATAATATTATCACTTTTTCGAGACCGACTGAATCCCAGTCTCAAACACTGGCTCTCAGTAGGAAGGAAGGGTGGGAGAAGAGGTAAGTATTATTGGGAATTCATTTTCAATTTAAGAAAATGTTAGTTTCCAAGACTTACAGCTGGAATCCTACATTGATAAGGTGGAGGGGCTGGTGAGGGCATTACCTATACAGAAAGCATCTGCATAGATCATGGGTATGTCAATAGAAGATTGATAGCCTAGGGGGGAACTGTACTACATCCAGAACAGGTATGCTCTTCACCCAGAACTTAATTCTTGTATAGTGGTGGAATTTTATTTGATTTATCATCACTATAGGCCAGGCCCCGACCAGATATCTGAGGTTCCACTAGTCATAGTTGTAAATAAAGGGCCATGGTTCCTATGTTCCATGTTGGTGGCTAGGACAGTTGGACTGCAAACTCTCTCTCTATATATATATATATACTTATAAGTGGATCCTAACCTGTAGCCACAGAGTGATGCATTCCGAGCCATTGGAATCATGACAAGAAAGTATGCATCACTGAGGTGGGCAAACATTCTCCCCAACCTGAAGAAGTCCTAAAAGCAACACTCTAGGCTCGGAATGATAGGATCATGTATTATTTACTCCACCCGAGGAAACAGAAACCATCCAGTATGGAATTATGGGGAGGACATGGAACAACCAAGGACCCAGGATGGGACCACTCTGCATTCAGAATTATGAGGAGACAGTGGGCCCTCTTCATGAACAATATACTGAACCAATATTAATCAAAAAGAAAGGCCACCCTCAACCCAACTAGATAGCCGAGCATCAAACCTGAACCACTATTATGAGTAGGCTCCTGCATACGCTGGTGCCACTTTTACCGACATCTGGGGGAAAAACATCCAGGGACCCAGGTAGGAAGGCCCCCAACTTTGCCCTCTTCTCCAAGAGTGGAGTAATTCACTCTAACCAGAGTTGTATTGGGGTGGGAACACATGGATATGGTATACATGTACTTTTTTTTAGCTGGAATGCCGTGCTGTCACAATTTCAAATGAATCCCAACTCACATAGTTAAACATGTTCTGATACTTCTTGATTGAGCACAAAACTACTTACTCTAGCACTCTGGATGGAAAGCTTCTGTCCACCATCCAGTGATTGGAAACTTGGTGAGGTAAGGACTCCCTATCTCTACTAGTAGAATCTGGGAGGGGGGGGGGGATGTGCATTGAGGAGACCTAAGGAACAGTGTTCTGGAAACAGTGCAATAGGTGAACCAAGTTCCCTAAATTTCTAAAAGCAAACCAACCCCAATTTATTCAATCAAAGATCAGTAGGGATGGGCAGGATCCCCTTATGCTTTACTCATGATACCACCCGGTCAGCCTATAGGTGGTCTTATGGAACACCTCATTTCTACAGAGCCTGTTGCAACCTGTATAAAGTATAATGAATTAGTGATTGCTAGAGCAGAATTGGTTTGATAAAATCACACCTGCCTGGGCAACACTTGCCACAGAGTGGGATCCTGTGAAAATGATGTGAGAGACCCTCAAAGGTAGCAATGAAAATACTATCCCCTCTTTATAATCTAGCAGAAATGGCTAAGATAGCTACAGGGGTTAGACAAACATCCTCAGATGAAGATACTGCCAATCATGCAAATAATGTGAGATAAAAGTATTGTGGGAAGTCCTCATACATCCACACATCCAGAAACTCTTTGGAGGACATTTGTCTACCTGCTGCTGCCCTCCATGAGTTACATGAGGCCCTCTTTTCCAACCCTTGATTCTCAGGAGTTCCATAGTCTTTGGATTTGAGGGGTGATGTCACCGTCTGCATTCATTACTGGCTTTGTGACTTTCCTTGGATCTTACAGGGGGTCATAGTTCCACCCTTAATTATGTGTCCCAACCCCAACATCAGACTCTCATTCCATGGGCACACAGAATAGAATCTGCCCATATTCACGAGGTTCCTCCATTTTGTTGGAATTGTAATGAGTAGTGCCCTCGTGGGCTTAATTATTGGAGTTTCAATTAATACTGCCCGTTACACCAAATTTATTTATTTGGAGGGTTTGTCGTGATGAGTGGAGCCACAAGTCACTAACTTGAGGTAATTTACTGTTAGAATAAAGAAATAGAGTCCCAGACCAGCATTGAACAATTATAACAACAGTTATTAATCATTTCTAACTAACATCCAATATAAATCAAAACTTCGTTAAACATTAAACACTTCTCAAACACTGTTGATCATTACACACTTTGAGTGCCATTAACATAGGCTTACCAGCATTACACATAGATACACTTCTTCTTTGTTTAACATAATAGTCCTTTAAAGTTACTTACAGTAACTGATTAAGAGAGAAACCATAAACTATACTTACAACAGAGTTGGACTGGTAAACTTGCTGATGTTAGAAACCTTCATCGCTTGAGAATTTCTGCCAGTGGAACTTCAGAACTTCTAGGGGGAACTTCTGAATCCTGGAGGAACTGATTTTTCAGCTCCAGACAAATGTTTATAAACCAAATTTCTTAGTATTCTCTCGACCCTCCAAATAGTATCCAGCACTACCTGCAAGTAGTCCTGCCACTCTGTTGGTTGCTTTAGGGGAATTCCTGGGCTAATCCAAAACCATAAACAAAACTCTCAAGTAATTGGATGCTGTTTTGTTGAGTTAGCTGGTTGCCTATTTACTTGTACAGCTACACTCATGTCCTGGAAGCAATATCACCTCAAAGTACCATTTTTGCTTGTTAACTACAACTTTTTCGTAGCTTTCCTAGTGCTAGCGAGTTAGTGTCAGTAATCCATCAACCTACCAGTAAGTGCTCGTGCACTTACTTTGTTGCTAGGCGAGGCCTTTACACAACTGTGCCACTGACCTTACTAACTCAAACTTCCTAGTTCCTGGTCTCTTTCTGCCCTACAGGCATCTCCTTGGAACCTCTTTTCTACATGTATATGTCTACTTAAACTTGAAAAACTGTTATAACTTTATTCTTAAATTTATTTCAATTAACAAAATCCTGAACCAATTGTAACATTTCCTCAAAAATATTCAATTGCTTCAGAATGCCACTAGCAGCGGTAACTACTGTATGCCTTTGGGATCTGTGGGGACTCGGCTTTGACAACTCATCTAAATCCAACAACAGACCAGCAGGAGACTAGAAAAAGTGCAGAAGCTGAAAATCAAACCAAGGTGTATGTTAACAATGGTCCCATTTCATCATTAAAGTGAGGTGGTGTTCACTGAGATGCTTCCTAAAAATATCTCAGCACTGTAGTTAGGGTCATGTGAATCCTAGAAAACTGTGGTCCATTCAGGTTGACCACAGACTACATTCAGGAACACCACATTTCCAGGTGTGGGTCTATTTTCTGAAAGTCTAAATATGCTTCCACCTGGTGATGGTACGTGAAAGCATGTTGTTCTGGCAGACAAGGCATAGCTGTCCCTTCATGTAAATGAGCAGTAAGCCTCAATGCATAAACTGCAATATCAGGGGATGGAGTGAGAACTAATTACTTGCCCTCAGACCTTTCTGCCATCAAGGAAGGCATAGTCTCATAAGCAACCCAGGAAAGACCCAAAACATCAAACATCCAACGTACCAATGGAAGAAAAGGAGCTGAAGGCAGCTGATCCAATTTGGCATCATGAGGAGCCAACAGAGTAAAGGAAGGTGTTGAAAAATGCAAATCTAAATTCTCTCCAGAATGTCCAGGATCACCCTGGAGAAATTTAATTGTTAGGACTTTTGCTCTCTATAATTTACATCATTGACAAAGATGAAGGAATTGTCAATAGATTATTTAAATTTGCGGATGACATTAAAGTTTTGGGTGTTGC